CTTTACAAATTAAGCAAGTCTGATATCTGCTCCTGATCACTTTGTGATAACTATAAGGCAGTCGGGAATCAGGATGTGCCAAGCAGCCTGCTTGTCTATTGGGCCATTGTAGAGGAGCCGGTTAAACACGGTCAAATTCCAGATCAAACATTTCATACAAAACGAAAACCACAGGAAAGTGGAAGCGATACACAATAGTCAAGCAAATTGGAAGATCTCTTATCTGTTTCCCAAAAAAGAGGGAAGAGTCTAGAGAAGGACCAGGACGAGAGGACAGGGATCAGAAAGATGAGTCATCAGATGATTTGCCATTCATGCTAAGGAATGAAGATATTCTTTCAATGGCCTCTTATAATGATCATCTGTCTGCATACAGAGTGAGCATGGACAGGACCCTTGAATTGAATTTACTTTCTGGTCAGATGTGAAATCAGAAGATAAGCATACACCATGGCTACGTCCTTTACATGCCCAACCAGAATAAAGTGTTACAAGGGCAGCATCAGATGCAGGAGCTGATTAATGAAAATAATAAGAAGTTAGTAAACTAAAAAAGTAGACCGATGGCACCCATCAATCAATAGCATAAAGAGGATTAAAGTAAGTTTACCCGCTAACTGCATATCTATATCTATATTAAGTCACTTAAGTCTTTTCTTAAGTTTCCCGCCTACCGTTAGGGTATTTCCGTAACTTCTCACACAATTGCGTAACTCACTCACCATTTTATTATTCACGCTTTCTCTAATGACACTCAATAGCGTTCTCCTTCTCTTCTTCAGACGTTCCGCTAAAAAGTTACTCGGCCCTCCTCTAACGCCCCAAGTCATCCACGAAATAGTATCGATCTGTCGCACCTTCAAGTTCTCCTTGCAATCGATCGTCTGCGCTAGAGGTACCAGGTAGTACTCCTCCCGATTTAGTCTACCAATTTAGATCTGATTCCTTTTCTTTCATCCGAAACCGAGCTTTATCTTCTCATTTATTCATCCCATATCCTATTTCCATTCCAGCTCAATTCCTTTTCTTTCTGTCTATTTTCGGTTTTACTTTATTCTGGAATTGATTTTATTATATGTTCTATCCCATTCAACATGAAAGAATCTGGCCGGAAATGTTTTCTTTCTGAACATTTTTTTGGGTTTGTTCTCAAATCTGGTCAGAAGTTTTTTCACGTATGATCACATTCTGAAGTGAATGTTTTTTTCTTCAGATTTGAATCACGATTGAGAAGGTAAGATATCTGATAGGGAGAATTGAAATCAATTGTGAAGATTGCTTTGCTAGGTTGATATATATAATTCTTATCCTAAAAATTACCTCTTTTTGTCATTTTTTAAATTCTACTCCGTGTTATTTAGGTTCTTCTGATTTTAGTGATTTTTTTTGGTGAAATTTGATATCTTCTTTGTTGTAGGCTGTGCTACTTTTTATGTCCACTGGATGTTGACACAAGTTGTTATATCCCATACAAGACTGCAATTTCATGCTTGCTTGAAGGTATGCTCCAGTTTCAGTGTTTTTATTATTAATTAGTACATATATTAATTAACGGAACACGTATAACAACAATAGCTGGGTCTTTTAGAAATCATTCTTTGCTGATCTTTTTCTACTATACATGATATAGAAACAATAAAATCATTACCGATATTGGAAAGACCTGTTTTAATCAGTTCTTTGAATTTAGCAATCCAAAGTTTGATTTTATATCCAGGGTTTCAAATTGTCTTAGTAGTTTACTTTTCTAAGGTGTGTTATATTAACTTTTTTGCTGAGTAATTGCTGAGGGACTAAGAAGAAAAGTTTAGGTTCTTTTCTCTTATGCATTTCATCTTGCTGTTGTCTGAATGAAAAATAGAAAAATTGTTCTTTGATGCATATAGAAAAGTGACTTAATGTGGTTGCTATTCTTCCATTTTATATGCTTTTAAAAGATCGTAATCAATAACCATAGCTGGGATTCTGGGAAGTACATTTTATATAAATCTGTACAACAGGGAATGTGAAAATCATTGCTTGAATACATATATACCTACTCTCTAATACTTGAATAAAATATTTATTAGTTAATATTCTAAAAAACAACTTTTATAACACATACTTCAGAATGATCTGTCAAAATTTGCTCATTGATCTAACATCCATTTGCTTAATTTTGTTGCTATGCGTTATGGCTGGCCAAATGTCCTAATTAGAAGAAAATATATATAAATAAATAGGAACAATGAGATCAACTAAAGAGTGAAACATGCTTCTTTATATGTAGTCCTTTTGTTTAGTTTGTAATGTTATTATTGCTATTTCTTTCTTTCAGCGTTATGGTTTGAGAACTCTAAGATTATTAGTGAAAAATGCAGTTTTGTTGTATAATACATACTCCGTACTACAAATTGGAGTTTCGTTTTTCAGATTTCTTCTTCTTCCAGATTTAGAGGGTTTCTCTTTTAATATTTAGCATAATACATGCTTTTGTGCTCTGATTCAGTTCTTATAATTAACAATAAGTTGCTACTCTATGGGATAATTAGAGGTGCATAACAAATCTGCTAGCATGTTGCTATCCTGTTAAAAATGCAAATTTTTCTCCATCGAATATGATTTGAGTAATGTGATGGCAAGAAGTGAAAAGGAGCTTCTTTTTCATTTGTCATTTAATGAGAACACATGATGATATCAAGAAGTTTAGTTTCATCAGGAGAAAAAATGATGAAGTTTTTTTACTTGAATTAAGTTTAATTTGGCATGTAAACTGGAATGATTAATCAGAAACAGGAATCTGGCACGATTGCCACCATACTTGGGTTCTCCGGTGGGCGTTGTGGAATAGCAGGTGGCTGTGGTGGATTCGACGACTCTAGCGGCGTCCGGTATTGAAAGGCTCCATTCTTCCTCTTTCCATGTGCGCAATTGGACTGTCCCCAGCAATAGCAATTCATTTTTTCTATGTTTTGTCAGTTTATTTTACATCAATATGATTACTTTTCTAATTGCAATAACTAACTACTTCATTAAAAAAACTGAAAATTGCTATTCTGCAGTCAAATAACAAATTTGTGCGGGCATGCTTTTGTTGAGACTTGAGAGACGTACAAAAATATACCATACTCTTCAAAGCCAACCCTAAGAGCCTTGAGATGGTACTCATGGACGAGTAATCCGAAAGGTACTTCTTTTAGCTAACCATGTACATTTTTGTTCACGGGAATTGAAAATAATGCAATATGTGGCCTAATTCATTTTTTAACATCTTGGGAAAAGATTTCTTACACACAAATGATAGAGAGTAGAACTTGATTTCACATTGGTCACTTTCAAATCGTCTTATCCCTTAAACATTCTAATTGTCTATATTCATGATGATCATTTACATTTCCTGAAAAATGAAATTTAGTTCCAATTATATGAAAAGGTAATTCTTCCTCCCTCTGCAACCTTTCCTTTCCCCTTTGTTCTATTTTTGAGACCTCGCTAAATTTCTGAGCAAGAATAGGTAAGGTTGTTCTGCCTAAAGACTGGATACTTATAATACATACAAGACTTCCAAAACTACAATTTAACAAAATAAATTCATGCTCCATTATTTCAGATTTGATGTATCCGGCTTAACTATGCATAACATCCAATCGCCCACCTCTTTCTATCTGTTTTGACTTGAGCGATCCCCAAGCAACTGATTTGTGCAATTATGAGTTCTCCTTTCTATTTTCCAAGTATTCTGATGTTTGGCCTCTTCTTCTACTTGCTAGGTATCCTACTTCACCGATTCCAACTTTTACAAATATACTGGACATGGATCTCAATGTATTCTCACAATTATTGGTTAGTATTTTCTATGTGATCCATATTTGATTTACAACTCCCAAGTTTTATGAAGAGTGTCAATAAGCAATAGGATAAAACAGTGAGGTCAACTAAAGAGTGAGAAGTGCTTCTTTAATCTTAATCCTTTTGTTTAGTTTGTAATGCTATTATTGCTATTTCTTTCTTTTTGGGTTGTTATTTGAGAACTCTGAGACTATTATTGAAAAATGCAGCTGTGTTGTATCATACATATTACAAATTAGAGTTTCATTTTTCAAATTTAAATGTTTGTCTCTTTTGCAGATTTAGAGGGTTACGTTTCATTTTTAATAGATAGCATAATACACGCTTTTGTGCTCTGATTGAATTCTTATAATTAAAAATAAATTGCTACACAATGGGATATTAAGAGGTGCATAACAAATCAGATAGCATGTGGCTATCATATTAAAAATGCAATTTTTCTTTGACATCTATGATTTGAGTAATCTGATGGCAAGATTTGAAAAAGATCTTCATTTTCATCAGTCATTTAATTAGAGCACATGACACAGGTTTTTTACTTGGATTCATAATAACTTGGCCTCTATTTTTTTTACTTAGGCTTAGTTTTGATTGATCGGTGTTGATGGGAGGATGCAAGTCTCACACTCATTCATTGTTGCAGGCTTGCAGCTAGATATTGTATAGGGAAATGCAGAATGTGTATTTCAAATGTTCTTACCAATGGAAATAATTTATGTTCGCTTGCATAACCCTTTGAGCTACTTCATGGCTTCGTAGGCAATTTGTTAGTTTGTTATCCCGTGCAACGCACGGGTAAAAGACTAGTTATTTAAAAACTTCTTATAGCTTCATCCTCAGTCAATAAGCCAACCAGCCATGGCAATACGCGTTCAGTCAACTTCAGTGGCATAAGGCACATGCTTTCGTGCAAGATTTCTCTCTGTTTCTTCTTGGAAAAATGTTTGCTAGCAAGTGGAAGAACCTGGACATATATTAGAAGACTAAACCTCACACTGGTGATTTTTGCATTGTTAAAAAATATAGGTCAATGCATAACTACTTATCATGCAATAGGAAATAAGGGTTAAGGAGAACTTTTGCTTGGAATAAAGACGAATAAAAGGTCAGTAACACAACTAAGTATACTTTATCACTCATAAATAATGCCTTTTCTGGTTAGGCAATTTCTAGACAAATATGAAGCTGCATAGGCCAATAGGCCATATGTGACATTTTGAAGAGAAAGATTGCATTTGTCTCTCACAGCCCAACTAGAACCATGTAATTCAAAATATAAATAAATAACTTAACATAAAGTTTCCCTCAAAAAATAGAATAACTTAAAATAAAGACAAATAGTATGACCAACTGTCACACACAACAGAAAACAAGAGTACCTGAACTTCCTCATCGTGAAAATGCTTTTTAATTGTTTCAATAATTAAATCAGCATTAAGACATAATGTTGAGAAAAACTCAGCAGCTGAATCTGTATTGATGCCCGTACTCTGAATGTTTTCGATCATCAAACGGAGCTCATTGAATTGACTTTTTTTCCACACGCTCCTGAGAGAAGGAAAAATCCCCATCTACAACCGGGAATATGACCTTGTCTTCAGAAACACTGTAGCAAGTTTACAAAATAAAGGTCGACTTCACCAATTCGGCAATTATCCCAAAAAGAGTTATCAAATTGTTATGGTGACTCAATTTTATTTTAATAATCAAAGAAAATCTGATCTATCATAATCAATGAGTCAATACCTGGGAAATATGCAAACATCAGCTATGAACTGGACTCTCATAGAAATGCCGAAGATTAGATAAGTCTCCAGACAGATCAACCTTTCTAGCCTCTGAAACAAGTCCATCTAATTCTCTTTATATAGTATTGTGCCAATGCAAGATCTCATTTATAGGATGCCCCAAATCAGTGTAACAAGCATCAAAAGTCGGTCTAAAATGTTTTCTTTTCCCTGTCTTTAAAGATCCAGAAGCACATGGCACTTTTCCAGCAATATGAATTTTTGCACCAGGCTGAAGATCAATACAACTTCTACTCTGAGCATCACCATCATGCAATTCAACTTCTTAGACACAACAATATTTCTTTCTATCAACTTCTATATTATCCGAGTCTAAATATTCATCCAAAAACTAAAACTATTCATACATATCAGAAGCAAGGCAGTTATTTATCACCTAACTAGTACTAGTGTTTTTCGGGACTGGAAGTGGGGGCGCTTGCCCCCCATGCCCCCAGGTCCTCGACTGATTACATGTAACCGTAAGGGCGGATGAACCTTCTCTTTTAGTGAGAAATCACTAATAATATCTTGGATCCATAAAGAAAGAGTAATTGGGTGTGAAACCCCAAGGGCATCCGGGAAACCACTTCTAAGGACTTGTAGAGTCTTGCTCCCGATGTAAAAGTGCCCTGTGCCGACCTACCAATAGTCATTGCATGAGCAACTTCCTCCTTTGAAATTGTGAAAACGTGAGCGATCTCTCACAATAATCTCTCTTTCATAAACTTCCGAAATGGCCTTTAAAGCAGAATGGCAATCTACACATGTTCTCAAATTTTTAACAATTCGGATACAAGTCCCTGGAGTACTACTCAGCAGTCCATATGCAACAGCCAGCTTCTCACTATGCCATGCCACGGCATGCTCCTTCTCCTCCTCAATAAGATCAAATGAAACGTGCACGGTGCTAGCAACGTAGCCTGCTTCCCGAGCCCTGTCCAACACTTCCTGTAACTTCTCATAAATTTCGTAAATCTGGGGATGCAACTTTTCTGCGACACGAAATTCATGAACAACACCATTAACCTCAATCCAGCTGCATCCTATATCGGGTCGGTTTTTGTTTCTCCTCTCACCCATTACCTCTCTCAGTTGAGTGACTCTCTCCCATTTACCCTGAGAAGCATAACAGTTTGAAAGAAGCACTTCACCACCTACACTAGATGCAGAAGAGCCAAGAAGATCCTTAATATAGTCTACGACGCTCTCTCCGAGATCAGAATTGCGATGGATCCTGCATGCGCTGAGCAAAGCCCTCCATATGACAATATCAGGTTGCACTGGCATGCTTCGAACAAGTTCAAATGCCTTCTCCAAGTAGTTGATTGAGTAGTTGATTTAGTTTACTTGAATGATTTTCACATTACTTGGATTTCTTTTATACTATTGTAGTTTACTTCAACCTTACTTATTTGGGAAAGTTCCCAAAATAGGACTAAAACAGTTTGAAAATTCCAAAATACGACTGTCATGTTTTTTATTCCTAAAATAGGAGTAATTACTGTCAAGTTTGGAAAATACTGTCATGCTTGAAGTTTAGTACTGCCATGTTCGGATAATATTCTCTACTTATTTTAATTATTATACTTCGTCAACGCGTGAAATCAAAAGGTATGTGCTTGGCGAAAAAGTTGACTAATTAATAAGCTGAAAACAGGGTGATCAAACGTGCGCGAAATCAAAAGTTCAAAAGTTGATTCGGAATATTTATAATCTTTTACATGCAATTAATATATTGGATTAGATCTCCATTTATGAACCATTAACTTATTTTGTATTATTTTCAATCAAATTATAGATTTTGTGATAATGGGAAAACGAAAACAAGTTTCAGGATGTACAAAAAGAAAGAACAAACTAAGAAAGAATTGAATTTAGTCATAAAACCATTTACCGGCTGTATGAGAAAGAATATTCTCATTACATTAATAGGATATGATGCATTTTATATGTAATTTACTTAAATTTAATTGATAATTTATTTAAAACTATTTGTCTTTTTATTACAGTATTATTATATGTAAATACATATTTAAACAAAATATCTAATAAGTGTCTAGGGCCTCATAATTGCTCTAGACGGCCCTGATAATCACTTTTGATTTGTTCGAGCCCAAGCATGGTCTTTACATTTTTTATTGTGCCATACAATTATTCACTGGAAAGTTGTTAATGCAAGAAATAATACACTTCCCAAAGAATGGAGAAAGCTTTCTCGAACTAATCGTCAATACAACTATATGTTCCATGAAGGTTATGCCATATCTTATACGGAGTATGGTGTGATAAGATACGTGTAACATGTGTTTGTAATGTATTCCCACAAATTTGTACACATATTTTAAGCTTGCATATTCTTAACTGTAAAATTTTACACCCTTTTGTAATCATAATTAAATTTATTTTCATATCTTTTACATCAACCGACCTTATAAATTTCTTTTTTAATATATGTGTAAATCAAATGATTGAAAAGGAATTCGTAGAAGCCTAGAAGGGATGGAATTAATTAATTATCCTCTCAAACCACAACCACACATATTTATTTGCTAATGCACGGTACCATGGTACTATACAAACATCATATATACAAACATCATAAAGACTCAGTAATATTAGTTCTTTGCTACATCCTGATAATAAAAGTACAATGTATTACATTTCTTGATTTTTTTCAGTTTTTAAAAAAATCAAAGGAGCATCCCTGAGTCCCTGACCACCCAACCCAGTACCCTCTGCCCACTCTTGGAATCAATAGCAGCGACCCCATTGATTTTCACCTATCCGACGTCGGATTTCAACCATCTCCTCCCGTCACTATTACCTGAACTTATCCCCAGTTGCATATTCGGTCTCTGAGCAGCGTGCCAGCCTTCCAAGGTTCATGTTGTAGCCCTCCAAACACCCTCTGCCGAGAACTCAGCTCCCCCAGACCACATTGTTTATTTTCATCCAAATACTCCAAAGAAGCATGACAAATTTGCAATTTTTTTCTTGTTAATGCATTGAAAACAGACTCAAACCAGCCCACAATTGATGAATCTCAACCTGCAATTGATAGTCCAAATTTCTCCGAAACTACCTTTGTGCCCAGACAATATCTTAAGATATAAAGACCACATTGCACTCCCCTGGAACCTGCATGTGTCTCCTCCTCAAACTTGTTGCTACCTGCCAGAAGAAGAGCTTCAGTTTCGGTGGTATCTTGAAGTTTCAAATAGCTGTCCAGTCCTCCAAGTAGACATTAGACTCTAAGTACCTAGTTATATATGCAGCAAGTAAAGATATGCTCTTAAAACCCCTCTCCCCTCCATTGATTAAAAATGTGTGTTTTTGTCTCAACTGTTAGACAGTAGGCACTGCATATCACTGATGCAACAATTGATATTATGATATTAGAAGCTTTAGGAAATACTGACTGATCAACAAAATCTATTTTTTTTCTTTGTTTTTAATCTATTTCTTAAACATGATAAACTATATAAGTATCTTGTGATTAACCTAGTGAAGGAAACAAAAGATCTATCCCATGATAGTATCTTGGGACGGAGGGAGTAAAAAAAAAAAGTGGTATATTCAATCTCAAAAGCAGGACAACATCTTACCGTTTATTGTACATGTGAAAATATAAGTTAACTCCGACATAAAAAAGAATAATGACACATTCCTCTTAAAGTATATCCTTTCCACCACCCTCTTATTTATGTTAAACTTCATACTTTTAATTATTTTCAATATGAATAAATTTATTTGTTTCGACAGTGACAACATGGTGCAGTAACCTAATTAAGTTTTGTTATTTTAGTTGATCATATAAGGTTAGCTCTAGATTTCTTATTCATTGATGACAATAACACAACCTCGTAGCAAGGAATTTGAACTAAACCTGTAAAGCTATTTTCAGGCTTCAATGTTTCTTCAAAGTGGTATATTATGTTGCTGAAACTGAATATATTATTTACTAACTTAGGCATACTTAATCAGATGGACTTTCAATATGGTGCAGCAGCCTATTTAAGTTTTGTTATTTTAGTTGATCATATAAGGTTAGCTCTAGATTTCTTATTCATCGGGGGAAGAGAACAGAACCTCGTAGCAAGGAATTTGAACAAAACCTGTAAAGCTATTTTCAGGCTTCAATGTTTTCTTCAAAGTGGTATATTATGTTGCTGAAACTGAATATATTATTTACTAACTTAGACATGCTTAATCAAATGAACTTTCTACCCTGACTGCTCATCCTTTCTTGACTTCTTAAGCATGTGGATTCTATAGTCTGTCTGCTTAACATGTGGATCCATATAGTTAAGAATTTAGAAAATGCATAGAAACCACTCATCATATTAGAAAAACTAAATAACATAATTCAAAGTCAAGAAAAATTAGCCATTCTTTGGATACAAATTAGATATGTGAACCTACCAAATCAATCTTCACATTTGAATTCATATGAGCTTGAAGGAATGAAGAAAGAAAATGTAGATAAAGATTGAATAAGCTAAGCAAAAAAGTGAAAATAAAAATGGAAAGAGTAACACATTATCTTCCCTATCAAACCTCTTACCTTATCAACCGGAATTCAAATCTGAAGAAAAAAAACCTTCACGCCAGGATATGACCAAGCCCAGAATGTGAAGAATCTTTCTGAACAGAATGCGAACAAACCCAGGGAAAAAACTTTCTGGCAAGAAAAAAACATTTCAGCCAGAATGAGATAGAAAAAATATATGATAAAATCAATTCCAGCACAAAACAAAACCGAAAATATAAATAACAAATTGAGGCAAGAATATTTTCCTATAGAAATCTAAAATGATTTCGAGTAGGCGATGTGAGGGAGAAGGAGAATTTGAGGGATGTTATCCCATAGAAAAGAAACGATCTGAGAAATGGGAAGAGAAAGGAAGATGACTGTAGGCCGTGGATGAAAATTATTTGATCGCACGGTTGAAAATAGCCTATAAAAGTTGAGCGGGAAAGTGCTTCTTGCACAAAGTAGTGCAATTATGTAGAGTGATTTTATTCCGTAATTTTTACTAACACTTCACTTCTCAAGAGCTTTGTCTAACAAAATAATACGGTAGTGTTTGGTGTGGCCTTAACAAGAGTCAAGAAGCCATATTCCGAATTGCCAAGTCCCTAAGTATTGGCTTTCTTAAAACTTAAGTAATTGCCCTAAATGGGACTAAAACATTGCTTAAACTCATAATTAGGACTTCAAGTTTATTATTCCCTAAATGGGACTAAAGATTACAGTTTTACCCTTATAACTTAAACTTAGATGTGTGACTCTCCCTATGCCCTCTCTGGTTGATCGCCGATTACTTCCAATCGACCTCCATGCGCTGGAACTCACCCGCTGACAATTCCTTCATGTACTGATCTACCATGGACTACAGCTCTGTCGTCCACCGTAACCACGCACCACCACCATACGCCGTAATCTTCTTCCCTTCTTCTTCAGGCAAGTGAGGTAGGTAATCTTCCCCTTCTTCTTCTTTTTCTTCTTCACCTCCTCACTACAACATTTCAACCCCTAATGTATTTACCATTACATTTGTTCATGTTACATTAGACCTATTGTAACACTTTATAGTCTCTAATGTAACATTTATACTTCTAGAAAGTGTTACATTAGGTGTCAAAAGTGTTACATTAGAGAAATATGTAACACTTTTATAGATAGGTTACATCTTTCTTCTTCTTCTTCTTTCTTCTTCTCGGATATGAATTTTATTTATTAGTTTGAAATATGAAAATATCAAGATCCCAAGTTTCGTATATGTCTTGCGGACCTCCAATGAGAATATCAAGAATAATGACATGATGATGGAAGTTTCTTATAAAAACATGACATTCTCAGTTGCAAAATATATGAATTTTTAAATGAAAAGTAATGGCAATTTAAGGATGAAAATTTTGACATCATTTGGAAAACATGTCAAAAAAACATGTCATTTGTAATAACAAGTAATTATGTCATTCTCAGATAAGCCATAAAAATGCCATAAAATGCCATAAAATGCCATAAGAATGACATTTTCTTATGAACATGACATTTTCATATTGTCATCTTGATAAATATACTGCCACAAACGTGGCAGTTTGATATGAGTTTTCTCGCACTTAAAAAGATTGTAGAATTGTGGTGAAAATTACGAGTATCGTCTCCACAGGGACGGACAAAAGGGAAATAAGAATGAACTAAATTCAGCGATTGAAAAAGAAATAAATAAAATAAATGCGATGTGCGAGATTGGTAGGTTGAAAATTAAACTAATGCGAATGAGCGATTAAATAAAAAGATTGGTTTCTCTCTAAGTAATGACGAAGGGAACATGGATTGATTCCGGGGTAACCAG